TAAAATCGAATGAAATACTGCCATTTGCAACAACATGGATGGACCTTGAGAGAATTATATTAAGTGAAACAAGTCAGGCACAGAAAGAGAAATACCACATGTTCTCACTTATTGGTGGGAGCTAAAAATAAATAAGTAAATTCACACGCACACGCAAAAAAACCCGGGGCAGGCGGGGGAGAAGACTTAACAATACAACTCCTTGAAGTTGATAGGAGAAGCAAACAGAAAGGACATTGTTGGGTGGGAGGGGGGCGAGGGAGGAGGGAGGGGGTTATCGGTAATGGGCCACAATAGTCAACCTCATTCTATATTGACAAAATAAAATTAAGAAAAATAAATAAATAAATAATAGCTAACATTAAAAAAAAAAATTTAGTAGTTGTTCAGTTCTTAAACTTTTCTTGTAATTCCTCCTGTTTTTTTCTTTTTCTCTCTTTCTAGAATCCTTCATTATATAATGTTGGGCTTCCTGGATTGTGCTTATAATTTTCATTTTTTTTCCCAGTCTATTTGTGTTATATTTTAGGTTATTTCTTCGGTGTTTTTTCCCCATTGTTTCAGTTGACTTTTCTGCTTTGGCTATCATATTTTATCTTTCTAAAAGCCCTTTTTGCTTGGTCAGGGTTTTTTGGGGTTTTGTCTCTTTTTATTTTCTTTTTCTTATTTTATAGATGTGGTAATTTGAGGATATGATGACATTTTATAAAATTTTTATCTGTTTTCTTATTGCCTCTGGTTCCTTTCCATCTTCCTGCTTATGTTATTTTGCTCACTCTCATTTTCATTTTGGACGCTATACTCAATGTTATTGGCACCCATTCATATTTCAGAGCAAGGCACCCAAAGGGTGATTGAAAGTTCATGTGCTTCAGCAGAATTTGACAAGAAAGCAGCAAGCCTTCTTTTGAGGTTTTAAGTGTTAGGATGTCCAGACAGTTCTTTTACTAAGAGTATTCTAAATGTCAGTCTCTGAAGTATGTCTTCAGAAGCCTTAAGATTTCCTTCAGCCTCTTGCCTGAAGTGATTGTATATGGTGTCATTCTGGAAGTGAGAGATGGAATGCCCTCACAGTTTGAGATGTACATGTCTCTCTTACTCCTTCTCTCCTCAGTCCTATTCTTTCAAATATTTGTTGACTTTTCTTATCCTTTTTTGTTTTCCATTCTTCTTGTCTTTGGGAGATTATCCTTTTCTGTGCCTTTATTATCATTTTTTGTGAGATCTCTGGAGGAAGAGAAATAAACACAAGTGTTATTCAAGTCACCATGGTAAACCAGAAGGCTATTTTTATTGTTATGCCCATCTGCCATATTTTTTCTCAAGCTTCTATAGCTTCTCACTTTTCTTTCTAACCATGTCACTGGAGAAAGAGCTGAGATTTATTTTTCTTCTGATAAAATCCCCACCATCATACCTTTTTAACTGCCAAGGTGGCATGATTAAACAGTTATTTAGATATATCATTAGGGTATTAGAATGAAACCCCACTAGGTTTGTAGTAGATTTTCCATTGGGTTGATTTTCCACTGTGATTATATATAAACAAGGGGTTTGTTTCCCCATACCACCACCACTACCACAACCTAAGGAAAACTTGAATGTTAACTCCATTAGTCTTTGCATTTACAACTAGGAATTACAGACTGTTTCTGAAATTAGGCATCCATTTTCAAGTTAAATGGATTTTTGGAAAGAGGCCTGTGACCACTGGTATTAGGTATTATTACCAGAGTATTGTCTATCATAGCCAAACACTAGCTTCAGGTACTATGTAGGTTTAATGTGGGCCTTTCATCTTTTTTCCCAGGTTCACCCCTAATCCCCACTCTCACCGTCCCCGCCCCCCACCTCCAACTGAAAAACATTTTCACAGGATTCCAAATTATACACTGGGGTTTCTCCCAATCCTTATTTTGTACAATCTACTACCAAGTGGTTGAATGATTAAAATGTGTTATTGGGATGTGAAAATAGCCCAAGTTTAGAGGAAGATTGGAAATTATCTTTAATTTTGTGCGTACTCACAAAGACCCATTATATACTTTAATTGTCTTGAAATGATGGTAAGTCTCACAGTCTATCAGTAATCAAGAAAAGCCTCAGATCTCCTACTTTGTGATTTTTTTTAATCATAAAGTGCTTTACCCAAGAATTGGTAAATGATCAAAAATTTTTCATGCCAACCAAAATGTAAGAAAATTTATATGAGTTCATCATGTGTAAGTTCAAAGTTAAAATGTAAAAATTTTCCTAGACGAAAATCTATGCATCGTGTTTGTTCTCCTTGATTAGGTTTTTACTTCTGATTGATTCTGCCAACTTAAGAATTTTTCCTCTTAACTTTAGTAATTAAGAAATAATCATTGGCTTTCATTAAAAGGAAAGACATTACTATGGTTTGTTTTTTAATAGACTTTCTTTTTGAGCAGAAGGTACAGAGATTTCCCATGTTCCCCTGCCCCCACACATACGTAGCCTTCCTCGTTATCACTGACCACCATTGGAGTGGTACATTTGATACAACTGATGAACTTATGTTGACATGCCTCTATCACCCAGAGTCCATTGTTTACTTTAGGGTCCATCTTTGGTGTTGTACATGAGTGGGTGTGTTTTTTTTAAAGAATGACATCTGCTTCAATTACAGTACAAAAATTGAGAAGGAGAAAAGAGAGCATGCAAAACAGCATGGGATGATTCGCACAGAGATAACAGGAGCTGAGATTGCAGAAGAAATGGAGAAGGAAAGGCGTCTCTTTCAACTCCAAATGTGCGAAGTAAGAAGGGACTTTTCCATCATTTGCCTAGGCGTTTAATAACTGTATACATCTCCTGCTAGTCAGCAGTCTGTGCTTAAAGGCAGACTGTGTTCGATTAGAAGAGGACTGTTACTTAAGGATTCTAATCTCCATTTTTCTCCAAGCCTTTTGGGACCCACCATTGCACTGTTGTCTCATATTTTGAGCCTTGGTCCTATGGGGCTTTTTAAGCCAAAACAGGATTCTGTGGTGAGAACCTTAATGTTGCTTGTGAGTGATGGTGGGGAGAAAGAAATTTGGTGAGAGATAACACTGATGAATACTAAGTTTTACGGGTACAAGTTTAGAGCATGTTTTGTTTTTTTTTTAACCATTTGTCCACTTTGAATGAAAGCTTAAATGAAGTAGTCATGAAGAAAGTCTGAGTTTATGAAAAATGCAATGAAAAGCATGCTGCTTAAAACTCAGAGCATTGGCTCTCAAACTGAATTCTCATTGAACACTAGCACTTCTTGCCCTAGAGACCAACCTGTTCTGATACTGCTATTGAGTAATGGAGTTCCTTTTGCAGTTTTCAGAAAATGTTAATATGGATAATTTTTTTCAATTTTAAGTTTTTCTCTCCTAAATTTTCTTTTTTATTCTTCCTCATAAACATTTGGCTCCTTGAACTTGTCTGCTCATGAACACTCACACAATAACACAAGTGAGCAAGAAGCAAACAATGTCAATAGAAAATCTTGGCCAGCAGTGAAAATCAGAATGAGTAGTTAACTGCACAAATTAATAATGGGTTATTTTTATTTTTTAATTTTTAAGTAGCAAAAATTCTTTCTGATTCACCTGCTTGATCTAAAAGTTTCAATATCTTATGGCAAATTCCTTGAAGGGAATGCCTTCTTTTAGGTTTTCATGTTTGAGATCCACTGCACCAAAGGGAAATAATGAGTTATTCTACAATGTTTTGCTGTGTTTTATTTCTGCTTGTCTAGTAAACTAATTGTAAGAATTTATAAAATGCTAACACTCAAACTAATAATTTGTTTTGTACACTTTGTGACTGTGCCAATTCAGCATTCCCTAAGTTCATATTGTCTAAAGGCCACCCAAGGTTCATTAACTTGTGCAGATTCACATATGTTGTTCTGCCACCTGAACCCATGAATGAAGAACCCTGTCTGAAATTATCCCATAAAATTCTGTTTTATTTCCACAGTATCTCATTAAAGTTAATGAAATCAAGACCAAAAAGGGTGTGGATCTGCTGCAGAATCTTATAAAGTATTATCACGCACAGTGCAAGTAAGTAGAATGTTGCAGTCATTATTATTAGCCCAAGCAATGTCCCCATCACTTCAGTGGTTTTCTTAATTCTCTTTCTTTTCTTCATCTGGTGACTATATGTAGTGATATAATGACCTTCTATAATGAGCCAAATGTAAAAGAAATAGTATTGTCTTCCATCTTCAGTTTTTAATATAAATCAGTAGCTCAAATTAGGGCAACTATTTGGTGACCTGAAAGTGCTCTTTTACGAATGCTAACCTTCACAGCCTGCGAAGCTCTTATTACAGATACATGACCACCTGTAACTAAAGAGGTCTTTCCGGTGACCCCCTCCCCTCCTCTGTTATTTGACATTTTAACTATTGGATCATTTGCACTATACCAAACCTGGAGTTTTGGGGGTTTTTTTCCCCCCATCATCTAAATTAAATGGAATTAAATACTTTGGGCATAAGATTACTTCACATTTAAATATACATGAATTTCTATGTAATAGGTGTATATTTTGAGAGACATCCATTGTTCTACACTGGTACTGTTTTTGTTTACTTACATTGCAGGGCTACCTTTTTTTTTTTTTTGGTTTGTGATTCTGTGGCACGACATTTGTTTATTTACTTTTTGTTTACTTTTTGGGTTGACTTTCATAGGTTTTCTAGTAGAGTCTTTGTGTGAAAATGTGCCAGTTATTATTAAAGTCTGTATTAATTGGTGGCAGTTATAGAGAAAATAGTGCAAGGACCGAGTGTTCCAGACAGATCTCATATTTGTAAATAGAATAATGTAAAGGTCATCTGGCCTAGAAGAAATACAAGCTCTCCAAAAAGTGAAATGCATAATTTCCTTTGATCTCTCTTATTCCTTTTAATAATGTTATATCTAGGAAGATTTTTGTATTCAACTGAAACATTTAAGGAGATCAGCATTAATATTATGGGAAAAGCCTAAGGCTTGAGTTAGGCAAATAGATGAGTTCAAATTCTGTCTCTGCAACTGAGTGGCCATGTAGTCTCTAAAAGGTACTTCACTAAACCTCATTATCCTCAGCTGTCATACTGGCGTAAGGTTCGCAGCACCCACTTCAGGGTTTATGTGCATATGTGAGAATTCAAAAACATAATGCTTGTGGAGTGTTTAGCCTGGTGCCTGAAACATTATATATTTTGACGACTGTGATGATTCTAAGCGGCATTAAAAATAATTCATCTATTTTTGTAGCCAGTATATTTCTCTTCAGGAAAAGCTTTTTAATGGTCAAATTGTTATTTACGTAAATTTGATTTATTTTTTTCCTCTTTTCAAAGTAAATTCTACCTTGTATAAATGTGTTTTAAAAATAGAAATAATATGAAGTGAAAACAGTTTTCATGTTTATAAAGTAACTTGAAGACCTGGACTACTGAAAACCTGGACTAGCTTTTGGCTTCTTAGTATGGTTGGGTGCTTGTAAAATGTTGAAATGTGTTGTGGTGGTCACTGATTTTAGTTTTGGGTGGAATTTTTTCTATCTTTCAATTTCAGTTTTCCTAGAAATAGTTAATTGCTTTGAAACTCTTATAGAAATAAAGGAATATCTTAGTCTCCTGAATTATAACACTTTGGCAACAAATCTGATTTCCCCTGATTTTAGAAGTATCTTTTTATCTTAAAATCTCTAAGTCTGTGAAGGGTGTTTGACCTACACAAATATGAGTTTCCCAAGACATAAGGTGCTTTGTAAACTATACATATATTAGCCTTTGTTAGTAAAGGTGAAAAGAAGAGCAACTCTAACTTATACAGCTAATGTATCCTCCCTTTATTGTTTTATTTTTTGTCTTTTTATTTTCCACATATATTTATTAATCTCCTACCAAAGGCCAGGTACTTTGCTAGGTTCCGGGGTAGAGATAAAACTTCTCCCCTCAGGAGTTAATTGTCTGGTACAGGAAGCAAGTCAGGTTCATCAGTAATCATAATGGGGCTAGACAGTGACTGGTACCATGGAGCATCAAGAGAAGGGGAGAGATTCCTGGCCAGGAAGAATGAGGAGGAAGTGGTAGCATCTTGAAGGAGGTGGTGGTAGTTGGAATTGAACTTGGGGAATGACTTGGATTGGTTATTGGTATGTGGCAGAGTAGTCTCCCCCTAGGAGAGATCATCAGAAGGAAACCCTACACAGTAATGAAAACCTCCTGTGGGGAGATATGTTCCAAGACACCAAGTAGTAGAACAGGGTTATAATGAGATTCACCTCTAAGTTGCCCCATGGTTGAAATCCAAGAACTCCATCACAACAAGCAGCCAGGGTAGTTTTCTTTCAAGGACTATTTTTATTCTTTCGTACTTCAGTCAGTCCCTCAAAACTCATAATAGACATGTTGTGGACCCGTAAAACATTCTATACCTAGATTTGTGTTAAAAAAAAAAAAAAAAGCATTTACTTATTTCCATTCCTGGAATGATTGTCAGTACAAAGTCATCTGGTACTTAACAGTGAATTTTGCTCTGGTAATACCTTGTCTAGTTGTAGCACTTCAGTATGGATATACCTACTACAATGGAAAAATAAATGGAGGAGAAGAGAACTTACCCATTTCAACTCATCCACACTAATTACTGCTCACTTTCAAACATGAACATTGTCAGTAACATGCTGCTTTCAAAACAAATGTATTATGTTCCTTCTGACCCATTCCTTTTACCACCTACCAAGTATCATTACAGTCTGCAGAGTCGAGAGCATTTACAAACATTACTTTATTATCCTTTACCTTACAGATAATTATAGCTAATATTTACAGAGAGCTTATCTTATAGGCCCTGCAAAAGTTCTTTACATGTGTTTTCTCATTTAATATTCACAACACTCAGGAAATTTTAGCTCAGAAAGTATTAACTGGTCCAAAGTCACATTCATTCATTTAATAGTTATGCAATAAGTTTGAGTCAGAACAAAGTAAGCACAAGAAACCAAAGGAAAAAAATACATAAATTGGACTTCAAAATTAAAAACTTTAGTTTTAGGACACAATCAGGAAAGTGAAAAGACAGCCTACAGAATAGGAGAAAATATTTACAAATCATTTATCTGATGGGGCCTAGTATACAGAATATATAAAGAACTCAACAACAGAAAGATAACCCAGTTTGGGGCCGGCCTGCAGCTCACTTGGGAGAGTGTGGTGCTGATAACACCAAGGCCACGGGTTCGGATCCGATATAGGGATGGCCGGTTACCTCACTGGGTGAGCGTGGTGCTGACAACACCAAGTCAAGGGTTAAGATACCCTTACCGGTCATCTTTAAAAAAAAAAAAAAAGAAAGAAAGAAAGAAAGATAACCCAGTTTTTAAAATACTCAAAGAATTAGACTAGCCATTTCTGAAAAAAAGGTATACAAATGGCAAAAAAAAAAAAAGCATTAAAAGATGTTCACCATCAGGACTTTTAAGATGGCGATGGGTCTGGAGCGGCCATGCCAGGAGACAGCGCGACCCTGAGAAGTGTGCACTGTGATACCAGAGTACTATTTGCATTTCCAAGAGCAACAAAAAACGAATAAC